ATATTCTAATTTTGATCATTGCTGGGATACCCTCCACTAATTAGACAGTCTTTTGAAGGCAAGAAAGGTACTAATTATGACAAAAGCATTTTTGTTTCATTTGAATAGCCCCCCACCCCCTTTTTTTAAACCAAATTAATGGTAAAATGAAGCCAAAATGGGCTGAGCATTAATAGGGCTTCCAGGCCACTCTGGTTGCCAGGGGAACCTGGCCTGTGTCTCTGAGCACAATGAGGAAAGCTGCGTATGTGGAGGTAGGTCATCAGGAGTATGAGATTTTATCATAACATTGGAGGAAAGCTTATAAAATAGAAAGGAAAAAGCACATTTCAAGCTGAAAAGTGTGTTTTCAGTGATTTTTTTTAATTGGTTAATTTATGCTACAAAGCATCTTGAGTGGTGGGTACTTTGGCATTTCTGTCATATGGACTTGAAAACACATTGGCAAATTGTGATCGACTCACTTTCTTGTGGATCTAGCAATAGAGATCAACCTGCAATGAGTTTGTAGCTGAAAGAAGCAGTTATGTTTGCTTAAGACTCGGGGGGCAGCCCACACAGCCTGGAGGAAAGCTAGAATGCAGCCAGCTCCACATCACTCCACTCACCAGGTACCAATGTCCCCCAGTGGCAGATGAAGGGGCAGGACTTCAGGGTGCAACAGAAGCCATGGCAAAAGCAATCTCTTTCCCAAGGGGATGTATAATCTGGTGTGAGAAGCAGACTACATTTTTTTTTTTTTAATTATTATTGCCGAGACCAGTTTTGCTCAGTGGATAGAGCATCAGCCTGCGGACTCAAGGGTCCCGGGCTTGATTCCTTGGTTGTGGGTACATCCCTGGTGGGCGATGTGCAGAAGACAGCTGATCCATGTTTCTCTCTCATCGATGTTTCTAACTCTCTATCCCTCTCCCTTCCTCTCTGTAAAAAATCAATAAAATATATATTTAAAATTATTATTAACAAATACAATTAACTCTGGTATTATGCAGGAAAGATGTTGAATAAAACAGAGTAGCCAAAATGGCTGTTTTCTTCAAGACACTTTGCTAGTATATGGTAGCAAATTGTCATAATTAATATTCAATCCCCTCCATGTCTTTGGCATGAAGGCACCCTGTGAGTTATTGCAGGTATGCAACCTGCATTTGTTTGTAGGAGCCATATAGACCAGATGTACAAACGCATTAGGGAAGTTCTTGACAAAGTAGCATTGAAGCTGACATATAAAGACTATATTGTAGCTCCAGGTAAAGGACAGAAAGGGAAAATTCTAGGCAGGAAACAACATATGTGAAGGACATGGATGCACAGGAGTAGGGCATATTTGTGTAACTACGGGGAAGCAAAGGTACCTGAACCTCGTAGCCAATGGAAGTATGATGGAAGACAAAATGCAGTTAGGGCCCAGAACACTCTGGGCCTAACAAATTGTTTAAGATTTTGGATTTCAGCCTAAGAGTAATAGAGCACCACTGAAGGAACTTAGGTAAGGGAGTGGTAGGCTAAGATTTGGGATATTTGAGACATCACTTATCTTGAATTTGTAGAATGTATTGGAGGGGCAAGAGCAGGTGTGAAAAATTCCATACTAAATCAATGTCATGCGCTGTTAGAACAGTGGCTACTTGGTCCCATCCAAAACATTCATGGAGACGTTCGGTCTATACCAAAATGTCCTTGAAATTTGATCCTATCGAAAACCTACATGAGCACATTTGGTCCATGTCAAATATGTCCTGTTCAAAACATCCATGCTTAGAAAGAATCCCTGAGTTCAAATGACCCATAGGTTTACTTATACTTTGGGTTTACAGAATTAATACATTAAAAAAACTATCATGTTTTATTGGTCCAATGTATTGCTAAACAATAAGCCTTCTCACCTTGGTAGCTATTTGGTAATGACACATGGCGTTAGGTAGATGACTATTGTCTTTATGGACATTTTGGACAAGATCCAATATCAAGGACTAAACATCAAGGACCTTTTGGTCTAGTCTAGTTGTCTCTGTAGACCTTTTTTTTTTTTTTTGATAGGGCCAAATATCTTGCAAGGACACCGTTATAAAAGCATCTTAGTGTGCCACATTAGTGAGCAAGAATTTATCAGGAAGAAAAGGCCTGGAAGCACACATGCAGATGCGAGGGCAGGACATACAAAGGCGTGAAAGCCTGACACATAGTTGTGTGTTTGCAATGTCACCAGCACCAATGGTGTTAAGGTGAAAACCAGGTGGAGAATGGAGGCGATGGAAGTGGGGAGTCACAAAGTCAAGCGCTGCACAGACGGAGAGGCTGTGCTGAGGTTGTGGGTGGATTGCTCAGTGGAAGAGTGGTACTTCATGGATCTGAGGAGGGTGCATTTGAAAAAAGAACTGAGGTAAAGCTATTGTAATGGTCTAGGTGAGAGATGATTCAACTCCAAATCAATTGCTGAGAAAATAGAGAGGAGATGAGAGTTTTGAGAACCATTTAGGAAATTAAGTTGGTACAACTTGTGGTTTGAATGTATATGGAAGTTAAGAAGGAAGAGCCTAGAATGACTATGGGCTTATGCTTGGGTGGCCAAGTGAATGATGGTGTCATTAACTGAAACAAAATATAGGAGGAATCACAACAAGCTTGAGGGGAACATAATGAACCCCGGTTTCTCGAGGCTGTGTAAGAGGCGCCTGTGAGGCATTTAATTATGTACACGATGTAGGGCCATCTAATGCTGGAGAGAGTCAGTGTTGGAGGGATAAAGGGCAGTTAGGGGGATGCAAAGGAATAAGGATAACAAGATGAAAATGGGGGGAGGAGTCAAGCTGATAAGAAAATGCACAGAAACCTTACCACTTAAGAAGAATCTTGCTAAATACCCGTCTGGTATTTATTGTCTTTTGGAAAAGAGTGGCTCTGCATTTCTTCCGTTACATGAAATCACTCTGTTCAATCAGCATATGTCAAGAGCCAGAAAAATCTGTGTTTGAACCCAACTCTAATATTAACAGCTGTGCGAGCCACCGAAGTGCAAAATGAAACAAAACAAAAACCCAACCTCGAAACTAACCCACGTGGTAAATGATTGCAAAGGAAGGACAAATATTATAAGCACACTTTCAAAAGTGTGTAGCACAGACCAGCTGTATTTTCAACGCCTAGAATCATCTATATATATATAAAAGCCTAAGTGACCAAACAACCTGTCACTATGATGTGCACTGACCACCAGGAGGCAGACACTCCATGCAGGAGCTGCCCCCTGGTGATCAGTGTGCTCCCACAACCAACCTCCCACGACCCCTCCCCCCAGCCAACTTCCCATGGCCCCAATTGACTCTAATTGCCAGCCAGCCTGAGGGACCCCACCCAGGCTGAGGGACCTCACTGGTGCACAAATTTACACACCAGGCCTCTAGTAAATAAATAAAGAGCCAAATAGGTCACAGATTTGCAGAAAGATGAATGGATCAGGAAATAGCCTTTCTCAGCTATTTTCCTACTATGTTGTTTTTACTTTCTTTCTGACTTAGATACCTCTTACTTTTTGTGAACTTCAAACAAAATATCTTGCTGGGCTGGTTTGGAGGTAGCCTAGGATCTCACCAGCAGGAAGTGAGCCCTCAGAATCTGAAGAAGATTCCTCTGCCATCTTCCTAACAGAGAGAGGGGGCTCTCAGCAGATGCAATATATTTCTTTTAAGTCTGTTTGCAATCAGACTTAAAAGAAATACAAGATTTGATAATAAGGTGTCCATGGTTGAAGGAGATTGATGGGCAAAGGGAAGCTCTCTTGTTCTTCATATCACACCGCTCAAGAGAGCTGTACATTTTGAGGCTGTGGTAAGACTCTGGAGGCTCAAATCCTTCTTTGGGAGATGGGAGCCTCTTCTGCTGTCAGCCGATGGATGGAATTACTGTGTCAGCCATTATGATGATCACATCTGGGCATGGATGTGCACTGTGGGACGCAATGGGGGGCTGTATTTGTCTCAAGAAGTCAGTCTTACACAGGAATCCACCTGAGAAAATCAGGTACCTTCCTCTCCTGGCATCCAGCCTCCAATACCCAATTAGACAAGAGGAGGTCCCCACTCTTCTCAGGTCCCCACTCTTCTCAGGAGGTCCCCACCTCAGTGGCTGAACCCTGGCTCCCCTCCTCCAGCCCACCTTTGCTGCCCTCCCTTTAGCCATGGTCCCATGAGTGCCTTTGCCTGAGAGCCTCTCACCCAGCAGAATCTGACAGTGGTCCAGGGACCGACAGGGTTACCCAATGAAACCATGGTGACTGGATTTCTCCAGGGGGGTGTCAGGTTCTCAGAGGCATCATAGAGAAGGCGCTATAGTCAGGATGTGAGGCTGCCAGGATGAATGTAAGAGAAAGGCATTCTCACCTGCATGAATCAACACTGAGCCCTGAGGAGAGTGTTTTGTTCTGCAGGTAATTCCACACACTACATGGAATACCTGCAAGACTCAGCCTGTGGGCTGTCCCAGGTAGAGGCTCCTCAAAGGAACAGAAAAATTCTGTTTATGAATGTTAAATCATTACTATTTCCTGGCCTATCTTATTTTAATTGGATGATTTTGCTACTGCATCTGGATGGGTCATACAAATAAGCAAAACTACGTTGTTTCTCCGCCCCTGAAAGAAGATGTGTGCTGGGAACGAGGCCCACCACAAATGCTGGGCATATCAAGAATAACCTAAGTGAATACTCGCACCAACTAGGCACCTGCTTCCTTACTACTCAACGCAAACGACTCAGCGTTCCCTGGGTTGGGTTGGTGGGAAGACTGCAGAGACATCCAAATGAGGCTGTCGGGAGGGAGGGTCTGAGAACTTCACAGAAGGGTGAGCCCGCAGGGTAAGTTTGGGGCGCGGGGCTGGAGCCCCAACCCTTAGGCGGGTTGTGAGCGGGCAGGACGGGGCGCGGCCCCCGGGAGGGGCGAGCGCGCCACCCGAGCTCCCTGCCCGCCCGCCCGCGCCCGCCACGCACCCGCGCATCCCGCCCGGCTGAGCGCCGCCGCCAGTCCCGGGAGCCCCGCGGAGCTGCGGGGACCGCGCTGGGCTGGAAAGGGCCCTGGGGCAGAGCGGGGAGCGGGGTCCGAGAGCCTGCGCGGTGCTGCGGGCGCGTGGCGACCCTGAGAGCCGAGCCCAAGCCGGGGGCGCGCTGCTCAGCCCCCACCGGGGCGACCTCTGGACCTCTCCGCGCGCGCGACTCCGGGAGCCAGAGGTGAGCATCGGGCTTGGGGGGGGGGGGGGGCCCTCAGTCCTTGAAGGTCTCTTGTCCCCGGGGGCTCAGAGCGGCAGTCTGAGGACCTGGCCACCGGGGGATGATGCCTAGGAAAGAGGGGCTTCTCAGGAGCTAGGGGGCAAAGAGCCAAAGCTCTCCACCCCACCCAGCACCCAGCAGCGCGCCTGTCCCCTAGGGTGACAGCTAGACGCCCTTCTCCTGGTCCCGCCCTGGGGACCGGCGGCCCTGGTGGTGGGCAAACAGCGGGCCCTGGACCCCTAGACCCGCCGGCCTCTGTGCGCTCAGCCTGGCGCGGGCAAAGTTTGCCTCCCCCAGTCCATCCAGCCCCTTCTCTCGCTCCCGCAGCCCCGAAGGTGCAGAAGGTGCAGCCTGACCGCACGCCCCACCTGCAGCAGCGGCCCAGCCATGGAGCCCCCGGTTCAGATCTTCCGCGGAGACCCAGGCCCCACTTGCGCGCCCAGCACCTGCCTGCTCCCCAACGGCAGCGGCGGGGCCCCAGGCGACAGCAACCGCAGCGCGGGCTCCGGGGACTCGCCGCTGGAAGCCACCTACATCTCCCCCGCCATCCCAGTCATCATCACGGCCGTCTACTCCTTGGTGTTCATCGTGGGCTTGGTGGGCAACTCGCTGGTCATGTTCGTGATCATCCGGTGAGCGAGCAAGCACAGGGGCCGGGCGCGTTCGTGGACAGAGACAGGAGGGAGGGCGAGGGCCTGCCACCAAGACCTGGGATGGCCAGCCAGCCAGGTGGTAGGGGACTCTATACCATCTATGCAGGGAGAGTCTCAGAGGGTAGCCTCTTGAACATGAAGGATTTCCAGGGAGAGTTGCTTGTGGGGACTTTGAGGTTCACACAGGGCGAATCTGAGGGGCCAGAGATTCTTGAGGATGTGTTTCCTCATTTCCCCCACCCCTCCTGTAAACGCTGGACTGGTACCTAGTAAGGATCAGGGTGTGGAACAAGGCCAGTGTCTCCTGCAGAGAAAAACCAGTCCATTTGCTTGGCCCTTTGTTTAGGGTTGCCTGGGCCAGTTTGGAGCACATTGTTTTGCTCTCTGGAAATATTTTTTAAGATAAAATTCAGAGCCGAAACCGGTTTGGCTCAGTGGATAGAGCGTTGGCCTGCGGACTGAAGGGTCCCAGGTTTGATTCTGGTCAAGGGCATGTACATTAGTTGCAGGCTCATCCCCAGTAGGGGGTGTGCAAGAGTCAGCTGATCGATGATTCTCATTGATGTTTCTATCTCTCTCTCTCTCTCTCTCTGTAAAAAAAAATAAATAAATAAAATGACTTTAAAAAGGCTTTAAAAAAATTCAGACCTACCGAGTATACTGTATATAAATCAGAATTTCTTTGCTTCCCCATGCAAGTATTAAGTTTTATGAAGCAAAAGCCAATATACTATTTAAGGTTGTTTGATATTCATGCATGAAGCCTTTTTTAGTATGGAAATGCTATTTGTTTAGACTATCAGTGATTTTTGTAAAGAAGCCATCTAATAGTTATCTCTAAAGTATGTATGGGTGGTGGAAGTTTAAAAAAAAATCACTTTGTTTATTTCCCACTTTGAGAAATCGAAGGTTTTATTTTATTGTTCTTTTGTGGGATTCTGTTGATTTCAACTTCCAATAATAAATACCCAGCCAGCTATCCACGTGAAGCTAATGTTCTGGTAAGTGAATTATTCTTATTTTGGCCTCTTTCAACAAAGAAAAAGAAAAATATACAACTTTGTTCTGGTTCTTAAGATATATGTGTTTCACTTTCTAGGAGACTTGATGCCCTGATAATGCACCTTTGAAAGGGAGTAAAAAGCTTACCTTGCTTTGAGAATATCCTGTGAAATAAAATGTGCAAGTCACTCTGTTTAGGGGCATTAAGAAATGAGGGACTAACTTCTTTTTATCCTGACTTCAGTTTTAAAACAGGCTTTTTACTTATTATGAACTTTAAGAACAGTATCTACAGTAACAGGAGTCTGATTCTCTTGGGAAATCATTGTCATATGAATGCCTTTTATCTTTTTTTTTGGCTTGGGAATGTCAGGTCTTTTATCCTCACCCATGCTCCGAAACTAAAAACCATTATTTAGACCTCCAAATACATTACGAAGCTCTTTTTACCTACAATTAGTGTCTGTAGCTTGGTACCCTTGGTTTCCATAATTGCTCATTGCATTTTACAGGAATTCAGAGATGAGTAAAGGCTACAGGAGGGGGGGGGGCTATTTTAAAAGCAAATTGTTCTTCCAAGTCATTAGTAATTTCAGGGCTGCTCTCCATTGGAGAGATTGTAGTAACTAAAAGAAAGGACAGCTGTATTTTATGTTATAATTAAAACCTTTAAAAGATCTGTGATACAGGGGCTGTTGTTTTGTAATAAAAGATGGCTGCACAAAAAGAGACGCTAAGAAAATGCCCAACTCTGCTCCCACTCAGACTATATTCACATGCTTTCGTAAAACAGATACAGCTTATCATCATTTGAGCACCTGAAGTCTTTGCTTGTGGAGAGTTTCTCAGCTGCAGTTAGTGTTCCCATAAAAACATCCTTCCACCTCACTCTCCATTACTTGGCAATTATGTCAGGTAATAAATGAAAAGTGAAGAATTATACTGTCATCCTGGAATGCCAGCCTATTGAAACGATAGCGCTCATGAATATATAGCTAAGAGAATTGTAGAGTACTTCGAATTTGTTCAAGATGATACATAGTCAAAGAACTGGAAAATACAACCTCAGAAGAAAAATTGGGGGACTTGGATTTCATTGGCTCAAGTGGAGAAAGGAATGAAGGTTGGAGAGGGTTAGGATGCTCATCAGAACTGGGCCTGGATTCACATGCAGCTTTTATCATTGCTGTTGAGGGCTGAGTATGGAAAGATGGAGGCTCACTTTGGAGAAGAACACAATTTTAATACACATGCAAAGGGGTCCTGGTGGAATTCAGTCAACTAGGGACTCATCTTGAAGGTGGAATTTGGGTGCTTGGATGGTGGGGCAGGTGCTAGGCTCATGGCCAGCCGAGACCTGAGGAGGAAGTTAGGGTTGTGGAACAAGCATTGATTGTTTGCAAGCCTGCCATACAAATTAAAGTTTCAGTTGTTTTCATCATTTAATGCGATTCCCTTACATGAGGGCACATTAACCTTTCACTATGAAAACCTTAAAGTCTGTGCATGTCAGAACCTCCTCCCTCCAGGCTTTGGGGTTTGTAGCTTTGGGGGTGGGAAGTTCTTTAGCTTTTTACCCACATCCTGGGGTCCTTACCACCCCTGTGTACCTAGGGGTGTGACACTCGTGTTCTCTTCACCTGCAACCCAGCCCACTCCCAGACCTGGCCAGGTAGCCCCACCTCTAACATCTTAAGCATTCATTTTCCTGCTCTCATGACAACTGTCTCCTCCCTTAGCAAAAAATAATTAAAATGTAATGAACACTTACGTTAAGCCAGACTGGTAAAGTTACCTACTTGGAGTGAATTATTTTATTTAATCTTCGCAGCCTTAACAATTGTTGAAAGTAAGACAAAGAAAGATTAAACAAACTGACCAATGCCACAACTTGCTAACTTGTGGGACTAGAATGATCCCAGCAGTTTGACCCCAGATCCTGAGGTGTGATCCATTCTGCTATTCATTTTGCTCTATACCACTTCTACAGACATTGGTATGCTTTCTTACCTGGCACTCCTTCATTTTCTCCCAGACTATTTCTTCTTTTCTTACCTAGCCTAGACACAAGGAGCCATAACTTCGGCCTCTTTGGTAATATACTCAACTACCATGCTTTCCTACCCTTTTGCCACTCTAGCCCATCAAATCTTAATGTGGGGTGCAGCTACAGTGTTTGGACAGGTTCAAGCCTTGGACAAATGAGGGCACCATCCTCTCAGGGCCAGTCCCATCTTAGAGGGCAGGGCTCTCCCAGCACAATTATAGCCAACAGCTGTAGTTGTGAGTTTGAACCTGAGGTCTGAACACGTGGCCCCATGTGCCTGAGTGATATAGGCTGCAAGTAAACAAAGCTTGATCAGGTGCATGTAATTGAGTAGGATTGAAACCCAGGAGAATGTTGTAAGCATCTTGACCATGCCCTTACTTTGCCTCGTGGCATCTGCTACAATATAAAGACACGGCCCGTGGTCCGTGGCTCTGTCTCTCCATGAGGAAGCAGCGTCCCACCGAGACCCAGCTTTCATCCTCTTGTCTGTCTTTTATAAGCTTTTCAGCCACCCCCACTCAGGGTCACTGAACCTGGCTGGGCTGGCAAAGCACATAAGGTGCCCTGGGGCCAAGTATGCCATGGCCAGGCCAGCCCGGCACCCCTTAATTCTGGCTCAAGCCAGTAACCTGTCTTCCTTGTTCCTATACCGAGCTAGTTTAATGCTGCAGAATAAATTCAATTTTATCTTTGTCAGGGCAACACCATTTGCTTCAAGTGTATCCGGCTAAAATTCTGCCTAGTTTTCCTGTGTCTCCTATTTTCCTGAAAGATCTCATTCCTTTTACTGTTTCCCATTTGAAAAACCTAATTTAAATGGTACTAATCCCCAAGTCCTCAATCTGACCATATCATCCAGCTGCAAGAACACTCCTCTTACCTACTTGTACTGGGAGCCTCCCTCCCCTCATTCCCTTTCACCTCAAAGAGTTCCCTTCCTTCTATCCAAGGCAAATCCCTGCTCCTGTGTTTTGCACTTTCATAGCCATAGGTTTCTTTGCCATATGAGTTATCTCCTTTCTACTCTATCCAGAATCTCTCCCCTTCTACTGCTTTTGTCCCGTAAGCACCTGGACATACTCAAGTATTTCTCATCTTAGAAATACATCCACAACACTTCCATTTTTCTGAGTTCCCTTAGCTAACAACTTTTCATCCTCTTGTTTGTCACAGGTCAGCTCGAAGGAATAATCCCTCCTCTTCATTTCTTTGTCTTCCTCCTATTGCCTTGCTCAGGGCCCTTGAGTTCTTTTCCTGGTGCTGCTTCACCAAAGTGATGGTGCTTACATTCCAGAGGCTCCAGTGAGGCTGGTTATCACTTGTTTTCCATGGACCTTCGGCATGCTTGACCAGTCTGACATTTCTCCCTTTCTACACCAGCATCCTGTTCTTGACTTCCTTCCACATCCTTGAGGGTTCTCTTTAGTCTCCATCACAGACTCCTCTTCCTCTTAAGTTTCTTAAATGGTCACATTTTCCAGATCCTTCTTAGCTCGCTTTGGTTCTCACTTGGATACTTTAGTCAGGCTTTCACTAGCCCAGTGGTCGGCAAACTGCAGCTCTTGAGCCACATGCCGCTGATCAGGTGCATGTAATTGAGTAGGATTGAAACTGACTGATGAGTTTGCCGACCATTGGTTTTGACTTCAGGTTAAAGACATTAGTACATTATTAAAATGTTTTTTTAAGTGTTTTTACCGAAGGCAGTGGTTAGCAAACTCAGTCAACAGAGCGGCAAACTACTCCTGGAGGCTAGAAGTTCAAGATCAAGATCAAGGGGTTGGCAAGCTTGGTTTTTTCTGGGGCCTCTCTCCTTGGCTTGCAGATGGCTATTTTCTCCCTGTGTCTTCACATTTTCTTTTGTCTGTGTCCTAACAGTCTCTTCTTAGGATGCCAGCCATACTGAATTAGGGCTCATCTAAAGATT